AGCAGCACTGGCCGGCAGGTGCGTGCCTGAGCCCCGAGAAAGCCGCCCCTGCAGCCCAGGCGAGCCTTCCGCTGAAGACAGGCGTGTGAAAGAATAATGCTATTTAAGCCGCCGCATGCTCCTGGCAAAAGACAAGGGGCACACAGAAGGGAGCCCGGGTTTGAGCGTCTGATGCCCTTCGTGGTGTGAACCGGCACCTTGCTTTCTGCCTCTGCGGAGGGTGCGGGGCTGAGAAGGGCCGCGTTCACACCTTTACAACCACAGCACGAGCTGCTGGGCAGATGCACGGCTTTCCAGCTGCCCCTGCTCTGCGAGTGACGCTCCGGGTCCAAGGCCAGAACTCCAGGAGGGACACCGCAGCCGTCACAGGGTGTGTGCCTTGCCCCCCGGCCTCCGCCGGTAAACAGGCCGGCAGGACATCGGGGGCCACAGGCTCCTGGCCTGGGAGCAGCTAAAGGAAAGTGTTGACAAGGCGTTGGGCCAGGAGAGAGGAGGCAGCGGGAAAGGGTTGAGAACCCTGTGCTAGAGGGACTCACACTGGCCGGGTCGGCTTCTCGAGCTCCCGTTAGAGGTGTTCCCCCGCCCGATCCTAGCACGCTCGGCAGAGGCACCCTGGGGTCTTGATAAGAAGAGTCGGGAGTGGAACCCAGGGGAGAACATCACGCACGGAAACAAGCCGTGAGCAGGGCCTTTGGTCAGAGCTGAGCGTGGCCGCCCAGCGTGCGGCCTTTACCTGACGACGCGCTGTGGTTGATGCTAAACAGCTTATTTCTCCACCTCAAACCATCACTTTTCCAGGAAAAAGAAAAAGTGTTTCCAGCACCCCGTTCCCACTGGGCCAGTGCAGGCTCCGCTGTGACACAGCGCGGGGGTGGGGGGGTGTTGCCGCCATCGCTCAGCACTGCGCACGGGTGCGATGCCGGGGCCCGCGGCCCCCCTGTAGGTACTCCCTTATCTGCCCCGCTGCCACCCTCCGGCACGGCACCCCCGTAACCACGGCACCGCCAGTTCTCGCCACGGGTTCGGGTCCCAGCTGCTGATCACACCGTCACGTCGACTTTGCGACTGTTTTATAAGACATGCCTGGTCTACAAGACACACACCAACTACTCCCTCCCACCCCCACGGTCTTGACAGGTGACTTCATAACATCAGCGTCTGCTCAGTTCTAACCCCACCCACGCCGTGCTCTTCAGTGATTCACGCAATCGTGTCGATCGAGGTTTTGTATCCTGAACGAGGTTTTGTGCTCGGGCTGCGAGGGGCTAAGGGGACAGGCTCTGGTGTGGAGAGAGCAAAGTGCACACATATGGACCCGATCGAAGGCGCTTCCAGCGATTCTGGGGGACACGTGCGGAGGAGGGAGACCCGGCTCCCAGGAGCTGGGCGTCGGGGAGACTTCGGGGACACGGGGTAGAGAGGCAAACACCGCACTCCAAGGTGGGCACATGGGGGGGGCAGGGGCAGAGGCAGAAACCGCAAACAGGAGCACCAGGAGGACGGGGGCGATGATGTCACCTCTCCCTGCGAAGTTGTTTCTATTCAAAAGCTTTAAACCCAGTATTTTAAAACGAGGAATTTATCATTTTTAATTTAGTAAAGATTTTGAGCGCATTTACCTTCAGTTGGAAATTTCTTGGCCCGTTCCTCAAAGAACCATTCTCCGGATTTTATCCTCACGTTTCTGAAAAGCAAGCAGACAGGAGCGTCGGTTGGGAAGTGGCCTCTCACAGGGAGGTGGGAGTGTCACACAGTATTAGTCTGGCCAAGGACCTCGGGGTTCAGACGTGCGGCCCAGCCCCTGACCCTGCCGCTCCCCCAGAGAGCTCAGCGTGTGACCAGTGGCAGCAGGGTGGGGGGTCTCTGCTTGGGCGTGTTTTACCGTCTGTGTAATATGTACATGTAACACATACACCTCAACCTGTGCATGGGCCCAATGCACGGTAAGTACTTCGTGTTTTCTGAATAACTGTACAAGGGGAAACAAAATTGCCATCAAAATAATCAATTTGATTGAGTATACAGATGTTGTATTATAAAGCTGTACACCTGAAATTTATATACTAGTAATATATTGACCAACGTTGCCCCAAAATAATTTTAAAAAATTAAAGAGCCCTGGCCAGTATTGTTTGGTGGTTAGAACACTGGCCTGCACGCCGAAGGGTCACAGGTTTGATTCCTGGTCCCCCACTGGGGTGCATGTGAGAGGCAACCAATCTATGTGTCTCTCTCACATCGATATTTCTCTCCCCCCCATCTCCTTCCCTCCCTTCCACTCTCTCTAAAAATCAATGGGAAAAATATCCTTGGGTGAGGAAGGAAGGAAAGAAGGAAGGGAGAGAGGGGGGGGGGGGGGGGGGGGGGGGAGGGGAGGAGAGAATGTATCCCGTTTATGGCAGGAAGCAACGGCATGAGGATACGCTAGGAAAAGCATTCCATGCGGCCTCTTCGCTGGGAGGAAGACCATCCAGGGGTCACTTCACCTCGTTTAGGGTGAACCTGAGTTACCACAACATTTACCAAGAGCCAACAGCGAAGGCCCGGCAGGCCCCGCAGCCTGGGACGTGGGGTCACTGTGCTTCGATGGCGGCTCGGGGGCCTGGGTGCCGGCGGAGCACCTGAGCCCGGGGAGTGGCTCCTTGGCCAGCTGGCCGCAGGTGCTCCCTGGGCTGCAGCTCCCCGTCTCGGCCACTGGGAGACGCGCACGGGGAGCCGCTCCTGTGCTCACTGCCTGGACTCACGCCCCAAGCGTGTTTTACTCTTGACAGTTTCCAAATTTCTGGAGAAACCACCTTCAACCTCTAAGAGCCCCGGACGGGTAGAACTGTTCACATCCTCTGAGGATGTAGAGAGGCAGATGCACAGAAGTTGTAAATTGCTCACACCCTCAAAATAATGTGCCACAACCCCGCCACTTCCTTGCTTACGTAAGAAACATGGAAGCTTCGACTCGCGGCCAATTCTCTTCTGTAAAGCACTTACTGAAGGTAGTTCTCATTCAGTTCTTTTAAGCTATATATGAACACAATGGGTTTCTTAGGGGAAGGCTTATAAATGCTGCTACCTATGGCCCGAGACAGAGGTGAGCAGCCCTTGTGTCTCTGTCCTCGTCCGGGCCCCACGGGGAAGCCCGCGTCGCAGGAACGGAAGGAGGATTTCCTGCTCATCCCAGAAGGCCGACCAGAATGTGTCTACGAAGCTTCTTGGAACAGTTTCTGAGCTCAGCAATGGGCTAACGCCTTTACGTTTCTTGAACAGAACCATGACTTGCTTCCTTAAAACTTCTCAAATCAATAAGTGCGCAA